GCTGGGAATGTCTGGCCGCAAAATCCTGATTATATATACCCTTATTTTAAGGTTATCACATATCTGATGGTTTGACTTTTACCTCAAAACACAAAGAATCCACAAAATTCAGTAAAATTAATAACTTTATTTCCCTGTTGAAAATTCTCTGAATCTTTTCAAATATAAAAGCACACGCGCCAAGCAGTTTGCTTTAAATAAATATATGCAGCAACGAGAAGATGCGCTTTTGACAGCAACTCGTTTCGAAAATCGAAAATTTTTCTAAATGTAAGAGATTTGTCGCTTAAATTAATTTTTCATTAAACAAAAAAAAACAAAAATAGAATCGCATATTATTAAAAGAATTTTATTGATAATTCAGATTCTGAAAACAAGAACATTGTTGTTATAAAAAAACAAAACAAAAAAAAAAATAAACAACATATGTCATTCAACGGGGGCCAACTTTGGCGCATGAACTTTTCAACATAAAAATATTTGAAGCATGTTATGGATAAAGGTTTATTTGATTATGGCAAAGTACTCGATGGTTATTTGCCTAAGGTGAAGGATGCCTTCTTGCCTAACGGAAATTGGCTTGCATACATGTTACACATATGGAAAACTAAGAATATCATCCTGGCAACCAGCCGTTTGCCGGGATTCGAACCCCGGACAGAACCACCAGTTGTTCCGTTAGACTCCGCTCAGTCGCTGCTGGGCTGTCCGATAACGGAAAAGTTCAAAATTTCAAATTAGAGGAAAAGTGGTAGCATAGTATAATTCGAAGTTATTGCCATTTCAGTAATGTGAAGAGATTTCAAGAATGTTTAATTATTTTATTTAGCTTATGACAAACTAAATAAAATAATTAAATATTCTTGAAATCGCTTCTCTTAACATACTGGTAGTTTGACCTGCATTCAAACCCCGTGAACAAGCTGATTGCATGGGCGTTTTTATGGTTTTAACTTTTTGTAGTGCGAGATTGTTTCCCTTAGAAAATCTGTCACGAAAGCATACCTCCCCTTAGACAGATCGCCTTCACGTGCTTAATAATCTAACAAGCCAAACCAAACACAACCCGAGCGAGGACTCGTAGTCAAGGCACGTCATCATGAAAAGCTAACTAAAATTGGCTCATATTCACATTAAACATGGGCAGCAAAAAAAATTCGCGAAAACTGGTATGCAGGCAATCCATTCGTCAGGATTTGAACCCGCTTCAAACTATTAGTATTCAACGATTTTACCGCTACTTCGTTGGCGGCCTTTTGTAGTATCTATAAGAAAAGTAATCGCAAAGACACAATCATTGCGTACCGACGGATGAATTAAGTTCGGAATTTAAAGAATAACTTTCATTCGTGCTATTGCTGTTAGCATTGACATTTGGACAGATGTTAATTTATTTTAAATTCTTTTAATGTAATTAATTTATATCTTTAAATAATTGATCTTCTGACTGTAATTTTTTGTGCGGAGTATATCTAACCCTTCCGTACACTAACTGTTTTAATTAATTTACACTCCATTAATTTTAAGAGATTTTATATCGATAGATTTCTTTCCAAAAATGTTTCAAGGATTACATATTTTTTTCTTTAGATTTCAAAACATTTTGGATTTAAAATCTTAATAATAAAATTTTTTTAAAACAATATTTCTAGAAATTCCTTCGGCGTATTCATTTATTCCATTTAGTTGAAGTTTCGAGTTTCGTAGAATATCTTCCTTTCAACATTCATATAATTTTTATATGTCAGTTCGCCATTTCTACGGAGCATAGAGCCACACATACGAGTACAAAACTCAGGCATGCTGAAAGCACAGTTTTAACATTTAAGAATGTAAAAAGAAGAATATACCATTATAATAACGCGCATTTGAAATACGAAGGCAAACAAGAAAGCTGGTTGCAACATTTTTATATTTTTTCCTGACGAATCAGAAATTGAAATTGTAATCATTTTTCAATACAAAAATAAAATATTTGATTCTATAACATATAGGCATAAAGGCGTCCTCCGTTACAATTCTTATTTTTTCTTGTTTCTACTAAAATTCCGCTATGTACTATAACAACGTTGGATCCTGTTTGACTTTCATTTGTATAAAGTACCACAAGGCAAACAGTTGTAAAATGATTTATTTTCTTTCGCAAACTTTTAGTCGGCACACAGATAATACATACCTGCTGTCTGACAATGATACTTCACTCTTAGGACTTTTTTTAAAAATGCTCTTTTCAAAGAGACTTCACACCCCATAAAGCGCTTTGTGTCAACTGACAACCGCCTGCAGAAAGGTAGATGAAAGAACACCAGAGTGCATCGTCTAAAGACGTCTTAAGCATTTTTGGCAAAATTTGGACATCGAGTATATACGTCGTAATTATTTTTCTAGCGATTTTAAATTCATCTAAAGCATTTTTAAGAAAACTCTGAAAACGTTTAAACACGTCTTAAGCAGTTAAAGGGTTAATAATAGAACTCTGTGAAAGGAAAAAAAAAAAAAAAAAAAAAAAAAAAAAAAAAAAAAAAAAAAAAAAAACAAAAAAAAAAAAAAAAAAAAAAAAAAAAAAAAAAAAAAAAAAAAAAAAAAAAAAAAAAAAAAAAAAAAGAGTATGTAAACATTTGTAAATCATTGTATTGCACAATCATTGTGTTTTATATTATGGCAGATCAGTTGCAATCAGTGATAATTTAATTTTTTAAATGATTGATTACAATGTATGTAACTATAACACTGATACTTTATACACTGCTGGACATCCAAAATGCAACATGAAAGGCAAGAGATATCAAAGCCAAATTAAATTTCAGTTACACATAGCATTAATGTACATACACATAATATTAATGTTAACTAATTTGAAATACAACCTTCTTTGAGGTAAGGAAGACTAGAAAATCAGTAATGAGTGTTGCTTCCATGTTTGTCAATAACTCTTGCTACACACCATAGCTTTTGATTGTTGTTGAGGATTCCATACATAGCCAAAGTTCATCTGGTGCACTTCTTGGCCACGACATGCCGGGGTAGGCATTCTGCAATCATTGACCAGGCAAGTTCAATGGGTGACAGATCTGGAGAACATGCAGGCCAGGGTGGCTAAGAAGTGGCTATGGCGGGCTAAGAAGAAATTTTGAATATGTAATCATCTTCTTCAAATGTACCTGCAAGCAAGCTCCAAAGGTAAAGAAGAAAAACAGGATGTTAAACTTCAGAGATATAGCGCTGGCTGTTAAGTATACCGATAATGCATACTAGGTGGTGCAGGAAAGGAATCAAATATCACTCCATATTATAACACCAGGTTCCTCTAAACTCTAATCTGTCCATTATGGTACTGCAGGCAGAAGCATGATTATTCCAAAAGCCCAATGCCATGTCATTCGGATGTCCATCTCTACCATTCAGTGCACCACTGTAAACACTGCCTGTGGTTTAAGGTTACAGATAAACAAAGGAACGGATTTGAAGCAACAGACAGTCCATTATACTGCAAACAATGTCAAATTATTCATGCAGACACTGATTGTTTTAAGTTTCATAGTAATCTACAATATTGCTACACATAACAAACCGTTTTCAGATGGCAAGTTTATTATGCAGTGTATGGTAGAGTGTGCAAATGTATTGTGTCCTTATGTGAAATTCGAAAGCATTTCATAAGGACTGTAGTGCAAAGCACTGACTCGATTAGCGACTTGCAGAACAGACTGAAGACTGTTAGCAAAGATTGTATTTGGTTTCTTTTGGCAGTTGACGATAGCAATAATGAAGATACTGCACAATTACTCATCTTTATCTGCGGAATTAATGAAAATTTTGTAACCACAGAGGAATTGCTTGGCCTAGAATCAGTGCAAGATAGAACCACTAGTCTGAACTTGCTTGAGTGTGCTGTGAATTGTTGGAGAAAAATGGCTGGTACTGGAACAAAATGGCAAGCATTACAACAAATGGAGCCACAGCTTTTACTGGGAAAAAATGTCAGCATGATTAAGCTTTTAAAAAACAAGTTACAAGCACATGACACAGACAGTTGCATTTTCTCCCAGCACAGCATTCATAGAGCTGCACTGGACTTAAAGCTTATGTTAGATTCTGTGTCAGTATGGTGAACACAACCAGAGAAATGGCACTCCACCATCAACAGTTCGAATCTTCTCTTGAGGATGTGGAGGCAAAATATGAAGATATAATTTACCACAACAAGAGTGTGAGGTGGTTGAGCCTAGTAATAAAAAAAAATCTGGACAATACAGAATAAAATCCTCTTATTCCTGAACACAAAGGAGATATCTCATGATTTTGCAACAAAAATAAGATAAGTGGAGTGATGTTTACAGCTCATATATTTGAAAAATTAAATGAACTGTATGTGACACTGCAAACAAAGGGGTTGTCTGCCCATGAAATGTGAAAACATGTAAAATTTTTAAAAGCAAAACTAGATCTATTTGCAATACAAGCAGTGGCAAGGCAATTTTTTGTCATTTCTGATTATTAGGAAAACAGAGAGTGCTTGAAAGCATTTCTGCTAAAATTAGGGATCATTTGCAGTGTTTGAGGACAAGGTAACAGGATTTGGGAAAGTTGAAACTAAATTCAATTTGGCCGAGTTCTCAACCAAAAGAGGGATCCTTTAACTTCAGCTGTTAAATATTTTATTTGAGTTTTAATTTTTATCAACATTTTTACACTTTTTGTAGCATAGAGTTTTGAAAAGGAGAGAGAGGATGATCTCCTATCAGTGACAAAAGGGATGCATGGAACAAAACAGCTTGAGAACCACTGGTTTAGGAAGTGCAGGAGAATCTCCTCTTTGACTAAATTATTGTTGTAACAGTCTCAGTAATAAACAACAAAATACTATTCTATTAAAAACTTTTATAGAAATAACAAAAGTTAAAAATACGTGAATTACTCATATATTGCTGAAACTACTCTCAATATATGACAATATTATTTTTGGTAAACACATAAAAAGCACAAAACTTCAAACTTACAGGATCCTTGAAAAATTCACACATCGTGTCCTGCTTTTTGAGATAATAGAAAAGACGCATTGCGACTGGTCCAAATATAAATGTTCCAAAGCGTAATTCTTTATTTTGTTTATGAAACCTAAGAAATACATAAAATGACGATCAAAGCTTTTATGTCACACTAAAAATTAAATAACAGAAAATCAATGGGTACTTTTCCATTTCGCCGGCGCAAATCTCGCCAAGCAGACTTTATTGGCGACAACATACAGTATACACATGAAAAATGTTAACAAACGTCAGTTCTAAGAATTTTTTATTTTAAAGGCATACACATTTTAATAGCATTTAAAATTTTGTAAAAAGTCAATAAATAAAGACAATAAATTTTTAAAAAGACATTAATTTAAGAATTTCCTATGCTTTCATGGTTCAACATCCTGAATTGGCGGTTCGTATCACGTGACCCCAAGTGATCTCATCTCACGTAAACTACGCTACAAAAATCTAATTCAGTAATTATCTACATTAATTTCAAGTTAAATCGTAATTTGGAATACAATTTTAAATGCAAGAACGAATAGCTCACTCAGAAATTATGTAAAACCGCAGTGCTTTACTTCGGTAGTGCATTCTCATTAGAATTAATGAATTTAACCTTTGACTTTGCCTTTCTATATTTTCGCCTTCAGGTGAACGGTGTGATTGTATCTTAATTGACTTAGTTACCACGAATGGCCTTAGGGCATAAAATTGAAATGTCTGGTAAAAAATTCGATGTAATTGTATGCCAGCATTGAAAGAAACAATCAATCTGATAAGAAATGGCTGCGACTTGTTTTGAAAATGGGGCGTAAAAGGTTATCAGCGAGGATGGGCGAAAAGGTTATCAACGTTTGGCATCAATTGTATCATTATTATTAGCGACTCTATCACCTGCGCCAGAAAAGTACCAATCAATGTTAAATGCTCATTAAAAACTTTCTGTACTAAATGTTAAATTTTTTACCATGACTACTATTGTGTTGGACTACTGCAACACAAATCATAAGTTCTCCTTAGCATATGGCAATTTATTATTTACCTTTTTTTTATTATAAATTTAATTGACTTATTTTTATTATTGTTACCCATTTTATTCATTTATAAAACATAAAGTAGAAGATTTATTATAAAAAACAGCAAACTATTTTAATATAATTTTTAAAAAGAGTCTTACATATTTACATTGCATATCTGAAGTATTCGTTATTGTATTTATTCCATCAATCATATTACATGCAATTTATTTTCTTCAAAAATGATCCTGACATATGGATTAGACTTGATAATATCCTTACAATATTTGCATATTGTTTAGTTATGGAGCTATGACCTTCATTAATGTATTCCTATGTATGTTTAGAGTCTTATAAACAACTATTTCAGAGTGATCACTCAAATTTAGCACTCTTCCAATAAACGTAACTTCTTTTCTCTATAATTCCTGGCTTCATTTGAGTAATGTCTATGCAAATTTCATTTCTTCATCATGTATATGTGACTGGCAATGTATGAAATCAGGTATTGTATAAAATGCCAAAAACTGACAATGTTGAAACAATCAGTATAGCAAACATTTCTTAATTTCACTTTCCTTAACAAACTATTCATGATATAACTTACTCTAACTTCTTATTTTAAACTGTTCCTTAACTTTTTTTTTTTTTCTTTTTTTTCTTTTCTTCTTTTAACAGAAAAGAAGTTACAGGCCTTCACAAGACACTTGACAGTGCAACAAGTCCTAATTCAAACAGCATGAAATTCTCAACATACAAATTCAGTTATGCTGACACAGTTTAACCAGAAACAAGCAGAAGAATGCCAATCAGCAGTCAAATGTGTATCCAAGGGCTTTGTAGACCTAAGGGGATCTGAGTACAATGATAAAAGAGCACTTATATGCAGAAAAATTTGACAAATATTTAAACATTCTCAAAAACAAATGTAAAATTACTTATTTTTTTAAGAAATACATACATACAATATACACGAAACTTGATAGTTTGAATTATTCGTGTTTTACAATTATTCATGACCTACTTTTCTTCGATAGTACGATAGAAAATCGATAGTACATCATATTTACAATTTATATTTCCATCATTCTTTCGTCAGCACAAAAGCCATGAAGATACAGACACAAAAATCATGTTAAGGACCTCAGGGAGATGTATTCTCCTCAACAAAAAATCGTAAAAGTGGAGTTTCATACCAGACAGACTTACCAATGTTTTGTGTGCTACCCTATATATTCAAATGATTCTGTTAATTCAGAATTAATCCCTAAACCATAGTTCTAATTGTTGCTAAATATAACTATATACAAAGAGTGTTTACACATTTTTTAAATGATTTCCTTAAATAATTAAAAAAAAGCAAATGTTTTGGAATAAAATTTTCTGACAACAGCTTATTATTTGAAATCAGAAACACCGTATGCTACTTTTAAATTTATTCTTCTTTCAAAATATCACATGTAAACAAGCTGGGGATTGATGGATATGTTTTTGAACTTTCCACAGTGAAATATTCGTATCCCATAGTTACAAAATGTTGTGAAATGCACAGTATTAAAATTTCTACATACAAAATAAGCAAAGGAAAAATTGTCAATCATTATTTCTACATGGAAAGAAGACTCCAAATAGATTGGAAAAAGGTACATACTATTTTCACTGCTCCGTAAGTTAAATTTTTAGTAACAAGAGAAAATCCATTGATGCAGAAATCAGTTGTCAAGTCTTTTATACAAGTATATCTGTAGCAACAATTAATAAACTAATATTTACAACTTCAAAAAGCTAAAAGCTTTTGCTCAGCCCCATGGCTCAAAGCACAGCAATTTACAGAACCCTGTATGAAAACTATTTTACTGGACAAAAATAAAAATGCATTGTGAACCTTAATGCAATATGGGTTTACTTTAAATGACAGCAATAAAAAAAGGTATATTCATTATTGAAAACGAAGAGAAAAATGTGCACATACCTGGTTTTGCCAATGCAAAGAAAGTTTCAGTAAGGAGTTTATGATTGTCACAGAATTCTCTTACAATGAGAAATTAAAAATAAGAGAAGTGCAAAAATAATAAAATTAACTTAATGTTATAGAGTCAATAGATTACATTGATATAGGAATGTGAAAAATTTACAATGTCCTTGACAAGATTTGAACTCCAGACCTCCTGAATATGCAGCAAATATGCCTCCAGTTACACTAAGAAGAGAAAATACCTCATACCTTACCCTTTTACTGCATATATACCTTTTCAACATATTCCTATGTAGTCCACGATGTTTCACTTATGGACTATTGTGCTGCTAGTGTCTTGAAAAGAGCTCTTTCTAAACACAAACCCACCATCATTGACAGACTTTGGAAAACAGTGGAAGAGAAATGGAAATGTCCTTCTATCATGGAAATCAATATGCACACTTATAGTCCAGAAAAAGGGCTATTAAAGTGAATATTTAAAAAATACTCATTATACTTTAAACATTAATTACATGACCCTGAAACTGTTCTGAAAATTTGCAGTTCTTAAGCTTGACAGTAACCTTTAGAATCATGTTATATAAAATTTACTTTCTAATATTATCTTAGTGTATGTATTATTAATAATAATAATTGTCAACCAAAGACATTCACAAACCTTTTCATCATTTGTACTGTAAGCTCAAGGTCTTCAGGTTTGTCTTCAGCAGAGTGAATGACAGTCTTCAGATCTTCAGTGAAAATCATGGACTGCAGAGAAGTATTCAACTGAGCTCTCATTCGATTATAGAAATTTTCTGCATATAAGGGAACAAAAAAAAAAAAATTTCAACAATGTATAATATATAAAAATATAAAACATAAACAGTGTTCCAAACAGTGTCGGGCAAAGGAGCCAATATCAAACCAATGTTATATTTAAATGCACACAAAATATATTTATAATTAAACAATAAAAAGACATCCACAGAAAAGATACTATTGAGTTACTATAATTGAGAAACTAGTTGGCTACAGATAGAAAAGGAGAAGCTGATTGTAAATAAACAGAGTTCTAATTTAAGAGTTCTAATAGAAAGAGTACTTTTATCGGTAAAATTTTTATGGAATTAAAATTTACAAAATATGCAATTAGCAATTATAATAGCATTCTTTCATTACTTCACTTCAAATATGCTTCTGATATACAAACGATATTGACAGTTGGTGCAGATTTCAGAAATCTCCAGCATAAAGATAAAATTTTCAAGGTAAAGTCTATAACAAGCTATTACAGATTAAGATTTCACTTAAATCTGTGATATAAAATTGTTGAATTATAAGAAATTATAAGAAAATTACAGAAGTTTTAATGATGTACTGTAGAGCATAATAAATAAGTGATGTTCCCTTTATTACAAACTTTGCATCCTACCTCCTGTATAATTGTGATTCAACAATAGATTTAGAGGTGTAATTAAATTTTATCTCTGGATCATAATACCGTTAAGGTATACAAAAGTATTAATGATACATGGGTTTTTAATTCAAAATGGCATTATTTGGCAATAATAAAGAGCAATAAAAAATTCAGAATTTCATTAAATAAAAAAGTTCTAAAATAAATGTAAAAGAAGGCGTTACCTAAAAAGCTAGAGTTTTAAGCATGCCACATAGCAATTTCTAATATATTTCATAACTCAAAAGCCATTTTCTTTAAACTATGGATTATTTTTCATTCATTTAATAGAAAACACTAATTTGGTAAAAATTTGACAGAACTTTCAAAAGATGATTCTATTAAAAAAAAAAAAAAAAGAAAGAAAGAAAGAAAGAAAACCTGAAAGGATTCGGATTTTCACATAACAGCAGAGGATTCATTAGAGATTCATATCGCAGATTACCAATCTGCTCTTATAACACACTACACTCATTCCTAACACTGTTACTATTATTGTCTTTTTAGCTTTATTATTAAGCGCCACTTTCTTTGCACTTACACTGCATACAATTGGAGAGAGTAATCATAAAATATTCAGAAACAGCATACCTTTAGAACTCCTGATAGTGTCAAGGATTGCCATATAATTTTTTATATTTACTGTAGTACTTGGAAACTGCCCACTTAAGCGGCCAGAAGCGAAGAGTTATCATAAAAAAAAAAGAAACAAGTATATAATGATTTTAATAAGACCACCTACTGTCATTTCATAAAAATATTTAATGCAGTCAAACACCAAAAATCCGCGTTGCATCTCAAAATATAAACACTCAGTTTATAGTTTTCGGAAACCGCAACATTGAGTACAAAATATCGAAGAAAAAATGCTTACTGAATAATGACGTCATAATTATCGAATAATAATGAGTCATAATGAAAATGCCAAATTATTGACATCATGATAAAAGTTTTTCCCTCCTCTAATCTGCATCGAGGTAAAAAAGCAGACGATTCACTCAACTCTTCTTTCGAGTTCACGATTCACATTGTTGTATTTTCTAAGCTTTGTTATTTCAAGAGATTATTTAGTGCTACCTTTTTTTTCATCCGTATATTTTGTGGATAAATTAAGAATATTTTAAATTTCAGCCCTAATTAATACAATTACAGATAAAAAAATGCACTCATGTTTTACTGCTTGCAATGTTGAAAAACATAAACACGTTGCATTGACGGTAATGCAAAAAGTGCAAATTCTGCAAAAGACGGAGACAGGTGCTACTCCTCAGTTTATATCAGTATCGTATGGAATCTCGATACGATTGTGTATATGCCGAAAAATAAAGAAAAGCTGTTGAAATTTTACAGCAACAGCGATTATAACACCAGAATCCGAAGCCGGAAATCTTTGCACGAGGCGAAATCGGCAAACCTCGATGCTGTGTATATATAATAATAATTTAATGCATATAATAAGTTATTGCAATAATGTATATAATAATTTAATTAAACATATCTAATACTATATAGCTCCTATATAGCTTTTCAATAACTTTCTATTCAATAATAGAAAGATTAAATTTAAAAGTTACACATCTTATGCTCTATTAAATAACAATATGCAGACACTTGGGAGATAAGGGTACTAGTCCGTTTTGAAGACCATAAAAAAATTGTAGCGAAAATGTATGCGTAAAAGTGCCAAATCTAGCATATGCGCCCATTTAACAGCATGCCAAATCTAGCATATGCGCTGATTTCAAATCGCGTAAGTTTAGATAATTCTATATTTCTTAAGATGCCTTCGAAAAACTAGTTTAATTTTTAAATCCTTTTTTGATAACTCTATGGATTTAACAATTTGGAAATTGCCCAATGACGAAAAGTCTGCAATAGAATTTTTTCAAAGAATAAGCATCATTCATTATAGAAAATTATGTCTGAACAACCAACGAGATCAAATTATGCTTCAGTGGTACCTTGGTAGCGAAATAACGGTGCAGGAATCCATTATGTTTAGCCTTTTTTTTATATAAATTATAATAATAAAAAAGTATTATATGAAATTAACCTTTCATCTAAATTAAAACAATAATCTTAGATAGTTATTTACTATTAGACTTCCATTCTTGCGTTAAGGTTGCTGCAATTATTTTTGGTAGCACTGGCATCAGCAATAGTTTTGTGATTTTTTACGGTCCTCAAAACGGAATAGTACCGAGAGAAGTATTCTGTTAAAAGCAGCGTCAACACAATGCTTTTAACTATCTAAATTCAGATTTAATTGAATTAAAATTGAAGGTGTGGATTAAAATCGATTATGATTAATATTTTACATTTTGCGGAATGGCAACAGTCTGGTACATTAGAGATAAAAATATTTTATTTCAAACAGTGCTGCCTTTTATCACTTTAAAATCACAATTTCTTAAATAAAATTTCATTAAATTTGTGAAAAATATGAAATAAATACAAAACAAATTTAAAATTTGGTCTTCGAGGTGGCTATGTTCAAATAAAGGACTACATACAGGGTGATTATAATTAAAGCTGTGATTTCAAATGCTCTAACTTTACAATCACAGCTCAGAATGACTTGATATTTTACCAGAACAATGCACAGGTAATAGAATTTTGTTTGGAGAAGGGAAAAATAGTTTCAAAATTTGTATATAGATAGCACTATCAGTTTTCACACTGCTGTTGTGGATATATAGCTGAAGAGAAAAAACAGACTCCAAGGATTTATGACAAATTTATTAGTGAAAAGACAAGGATATGTATTTACAAAGAAAACAGCGATAGATAGTGAAAAGAGAAGCTTCACGAAACAAACACCTTACAGATGATTAATGCAGAAGTTGTTCAATATGCTCTCCTTCTTGTTCCACTGCTAATTAGAAGTGCAAAACTGCATGTTCCACAACAAATCGGAGGGTATCTGTGCTGATGCTATGAATACAGTGCGTGATGCTTGCCTTCAAGTCAGCCAAATTCGGAATCTGCCTACTATAAACATATTTTAGATATCCCTAATAGTCACACTCGTGAAGCTATTAGGGATATTTTAGATATCCCTAATAGCTTCACGAGAAGAGCACGCTTATTCTTCATCAGAGTCATGATGAAGCACTCAGGCAAAATGTTATGCATGTCCTTAGTGCTCTGCATTTTTATCTTAGCCATGTCTGCAGTGCGCATGTTACGTCTTTATAATTTGCATACCAACATCAATGTGTACCCTGACAGCACCATCTATCGGTATGATTTAAAATTATATATATCTTTTTCCCTTCTCCAAACAAAATTCCATTGCCTCACGATTGTTCTAGTAAAATATCAAGTCATTTATATGGTCATCAGTAGTTTTAAAGTATGAGCGTTTTGGAATCGCAACTTTAATTATAATCCCCCTGCACATTAAAAATTCTAGGTGCTGTCATTTTGCCTAGCTATACATATATAGATTCTTCACTGATTTTTTTTAAAAATTATACACCAAATGTTATCATTATTAATATGGTAATAACATTTGGTGGTAACAATTTGGAAAGCGATTTGAACAAATATTGTTCAAACACTAACAGCACCTCTGGTACTAATAACTGAGGTGGCATTCTATATAGCAGGCTAAATTTCATCTCAGTAGGAACCACATGCTAAAGTTCACAAACGTTCAAGATCTGTAATAAGATTTCCTAATAGCCGAAAGTCTGCATTTACATCATTTTAACCCTTTCCGGCACGGAACCTTTTAAAGTTGGAATTTCGATTAAAAAAAAAAGGTAGGCAATTTAATTAGGCCTAGAGAAGTACACAAGTAAAATTTTGTAACGATAGCACTTATCGTTTTAATTCTGCGGGTGTGCCCGAAGGGGGCACACTGATTGAATAGAGCTTGTTTCAGAACAGAGTTCTGAAACGAGCATTGCTGGGAAACGCGTAAAAGAGTAAGAGATTTTGTCTACTAGATTCAGTGAATACCATAGCAGATTTAGCATTATCCAGAGTGTGCCACAGGAAGATCTACTCTACCACCACCCCTAAAAAGCTCATTTTAGATTATATGATGATTACATGCTTATGAATTGAAAAAAAAAATAACTTGGGTATATGATATTTACATTATTTACATTTCATATTTACAATTTAGTCTATTTTTTTCATTGTGGTATTTTTTGTAGAAAGTGATCAAGGAAGTTAATTTATGAAGTGCGCTAGGCTAATAGAGTGTGAGTTAGAGCATTTTCTGTGGAAATGAAACCATAAATCATATAATATAGAAATCTATCTTACATTCAAAAACAGATAGTATTGCACGAGTATTAAGTAGCCTGACAAAAGAACTCATGAAAATAAATTGTAGGTACTATTAAC